GAAACGGTTGTGGATCGCTCTACAACATTCTAGGGTTGAATACAGTATTACCAAACCATTCTAAAATTGAAATAAAATACATGTTCTATTTAAAAAATATGCCAGGCAAAAATGTAACACCCTGTATATCCAAAAATATTTTTAAAGTATGTATTTTTCAAATCCATAACTTTTCTTTTAAACTTCCCAGACAGCACACCAAATCCTTTGGATATGTACTGAACATCCCAATATCCACTGAATGTCCAGTCCATGGTGGATATCTGTTTTATATCCATGAGATGTAATTTATAGACATGCAGAAATAATAGTAAATATACAGAAAATTATTAAAAAATTACGCCATTGTGGCTAATAGTACCGTTCAGATATTTAAAATTATTTTTTTTAAGGTGTCCCATGGACATCCACTAAATATAGTGAAATCCGACAACCGGTAGTTGATAATTAATTTAAATAATTCTTATATATTACATATTATATTCAAATTTTTATTTGGAATTCAAACAACATCCCAGCGTATCCCGCCTCGTAGGCGCCGTTAAATTACTTCTGGGAAAAACGGTCTTTGTGTCGTTTCTCACGAACGCTAGCTAAAAAACCATATGTCACCGATAGGGTTATATTCAGGAATTAATACAGGGCTTTATAGTCTTTATACACCAAATCCACAGTCGGTCTCTGTCTGATACATTTGCTTATATGGGAAATTTAAGTATAAATACCGGTGTTTTTGTGGGCTGGTGGAACATTAGCTTTTTCTTCTTCGCCGAGTCAAGTTAACAAAAAACGCAAATATCCAGGTTACCGTCACGGTGACTCCTTTTTCTTTATATTCTTCAAATATAATTAAAAAGAGATATCGCTACCCTTACGGTGGCCGCGCTTTTGTTATATTTTGACAACGGAAATAAAAGATATCAACGGAGTAGAGAAATTAGTTTCTATGAACGACGGCTTCTGCATAGATATCCAGTTATCCTTAGGATGACCACCTTTTTCTTATATTTTATATATAAGCAAAAGGAGATATAGTCAGGTTGACCAAGCAGATACACGTTGAATAGAACCAGATTTCGCTCCTAGAACTGTTTTGTAAAGTTGTATCTACCGAGCCACTAAAATATTGGCGTAACTAATACTGGTGATACCTCGCTAGTCTAGTTAAACGCCAGATATTTTGTATCTCCGGTTCAACATTATAAAATGTTACTAAATGATTAAAAGTACTACTCTATAGGCGACGTTCGTAGTGGATTTCGTCACCCTTCTGGCTGACCCGACGAACTTGCCAGGTAGACTCTTTTATCAGCGGTATACTTTTCATTCTGTAAGGTTTCTTTTACGTAGAATTAAAACGATAATCGCACTATTAAAGTAATCAAACTAGTAATTAATATTCAGATATTCCGGGGGAGAATTTAGACAAACATTAATAGGTTACAGGTATCACTTTATTATTTTTATATTCATTAGCGGGAAAATTCGCGTCTGTGTGTTATTGTCATATTTTTGGTATTCATTGGTAAACGTTTATTGTGGGAAAAAATTATAGGGTTTTTATATTGTGCTAAATAAATATTAATTGTTGTAAAGTCGGTCAATGCTCTCCAGTAATAAATTAAGTCATTTAGATTTATGGCCAAAGGGCCGAATAGTAAAGTTTCGGTTGTCTGTAAGCAGTACCTGCCCCTTTCAGTAAAGATAAAAAGCACTTTCGGTTTACTTTTAAATGGCAAACAGATGTAGATTAGTAGGGTAAACGCCTTGATTTGTATATATTTTACAGTTAGATTGCGGTTAAAAAAATATGTTTTCTGTCGTTCTTTGTAAAACAAAATTGGGTAGACAAATGTGTCATTTTAGCCGTACGCAATTTTAGTTTTGTGTATCGAATTTTCCGGAAAAAGGAGGGCGGGTAGAATCATGAATATTGAGGAGGGTCGTATTTATTTGTACATATCCACATATCTTTAGCGGGACATTACGCGGAAGTAGTCGGTATGTTTGTTATTTATTTAGAATAAATAGGTGAAATTGTGGTTGTGGACTAGCTAACGTATCCTCAGAACTGTGATTAATAACACTGATTTGTCAATCGACAGAGCAAAAGAGCATCGTGCCAAAAAAGACGCCTTAGGCCACCATAGACCGCCAGGGACCTCAATAGTAAGGGCCTAAAAATGGTATTTTCCTTGCGGCTATGTAAATTAAAGCCTGATAGAGGCTTGGATGGATCTCTACTGAGATACCCCAAAAGTGGGCCTGACGGGCATCCCCCTTTATATCAGGTGTTCTCCGATCGACCGTTTAGTGTTGTCCATACAGTACTGAGTATGTCGATAAATTACGGCGTTGGAATATTAGAGAAAGGCGTGACGCACGGTGAGGTAAATCTACAATCCGGTTTTTACACATATTAGAAATATTAAATTTAACCGACTTCAAAAAGGAAGAGGTTCTCAATTCAACACAATATTTTATATCTCACAACACTCCTCGTGCTACCGTTGTACTCTCTTTTATTAGACAATGCGTAATTCAGTAGTTCCGTGGAAACGTGTGATTGTATATTAGGAGACAAACAAACATACCAAAGTACTTCCGACTTTTATTTTACCCTTTTATGGGAACTAAAAGCTCTGAGGTTAAAAATGACACATTAGAAAGCCTACATAAACATAATGTTAAGCCTAAAAATGGCACATAATCTAAATGTTCGGCTGTACAAAAGAATAGATGTTAAATAAACAGTATTCAAAATTAATCTCGGTATTTCCTTTGTTCTTCCTCCATTACAGCTACATTGAACTCTAAACGAAATTCTGGGGGTTTTAACATCACTTCATGGGGATCTACTAGACGAAATTTAGGCCAAGGTTATAAGTATTTGCAAAACTCGGTCAGGGTCCGGTTTGTAAAGTTACAATATCAAAGTCTAGGCGCGAACGCAAACCATATCGTGGATATCCACTAGATGTTATTTGATTTTGCTTACTAAGTATAGATGGCGATACCACTTTCGCATCTACTCATGCTCGACATGCCGTAATTGAGTTCGATCGAAATTTGTGTCCTAATCAGACTCCATTAGAGACTGGAGTCGAGAATTTCCATTTATTGCTGAAGAGTCCTAATAAGGATGACTGTCTCCTTAGTGGGCAAAATCAAAGGCAGAGTGTTGAAAAAATTTTGAGTGTTGAAAAATTTTTTAGCTCTGCTATTTTCTTTCGACGTTATTCAATAATCATTGGTTACTTATGAACCTCTACTAAAGATACCCATAAAATATTTTGCTGAATATCTGAATATCTTCTATATCTTGGGATATAGACGGACATTTGGTTGGATATCCATATTGGATATATTGAATATCCACAAAATATATTCTGTGGATATCTCTGGGATTTCTTGTATTGTCTGGAAGATACGCCATTAGATATTTTGCTGGATATCCATTAGGATATCTTCTCTATTCTGGATATAGACGGACATTTGGATATCCATATTAGATCCACGGAATATTTCTGATATCCTGTGGATATATTGGATATCCACAAAAGATAGTCTGTGGATATCTCTGGGATTTGGTGTGTTGTCTGAGTATTGACTACTTGTTTTATCGGTACAACCGCCGACACAACATTTATTTTTGAGTTTGTTGTATGTTTTGTTTTCCATATTAAATGTAAGCAATTAATACAGTAATAAAACAATACAATAACACAAAGCACAATAACAATAAATATCGCTGAAACAAAATTATTATTAATTAAATCGCAAGAATTTCGTAGCACAAAAAATATCGAAAAATTATCACTTGTCAACACTGACACTTCACGCTTCACTTATAAAAACTCAACGCTAAAGAATGAAAGATGATTCGAAATAGGAATTATTAACTCCTTCTTTTATAAGTATCTAAACAAATAGAAGGAGTGGGAGTGAGTAACGCTCCGATCAGATTGTTTTGAATTCGTCGTCAACCAATGAACGTGCCGATGTCAAAAATCAATAACGACACTAGCGCCATGGGACCTGTGTCTGGCCGCAGCGTAACTCAAAGCCATTTCTTGAATCCACATACTTTGATTTTCTTTTACTATACGGAGAATGGTCGCACTGCGCAGCTTTCTGAGTGACTTTTAAAAGGAGATAGAAAACTCCGCCATTTTGAACCCTTATTACGTGTTGCCTACATCTTGGCGCAATATTTTCAATAGGTGCGTTTTAATCATCCGCTTCTGCTTTGGAATTGTCAGTTTTCTTGTTTTAATCTGACAGGTTAAAACGACTAAACCGACAATTCCGGAAGCAGAAGCGGATGATTAAAACGCACCTGATATTTTGCTTGCTGCTGTCAGTGTCAGTGAATATTATTTTTGAAGTCACAGTTTATTGCTAAAGAATCAGATCACTCGGACCAGTTGAAAGTTCCAAAATAACATCCACTCCAGGGATACAAATTCAGGATACGCAGAAGACTGCTGCTTTATTATAGGCGGTTGTCATATATTGTATTATCCGAGTTGCACAGTGTATAAACTGAAACATTGAGATCCAAAGTGCCGACGCAGAGTGAGCGATCTGATTCTTTAGCTGTAAACTGTGTCACAGGGTTCAAAATGGCCGCGCCCTATGTTGGGCGTGTCGGACCTCTCTCTTGCCTCGTATAGTAATAAAAGTATGTGCTTGAATCCCAGTTACATTACTATAGGGGATATATCACAGACCTTTTATATATTGTTTATAGACAGTACACTCAATGTATAATTTTCGTAGCTGATTTCAGCGCCCTCACAGTGGTGGGGGTTTAAACTAAACGATGGCGGCAATTTTTGAATGTCTGAATAATTTTTTGGAAGCACGCTTTGAACGTGGTTATTATGTCTGCCATTAAAGTTGAGATTTGATTACAATAAGCAAACAAATCGTAACTATAATGGTTTAATTATGTTTTGGTGCTACATTTTTTTATGAAATGAAACCATTTATTATATTTATAACGATTTATTTATAAAATGTAAATTATTTCGGATATTATTTTAACTAAAACTAAAAATAGCTAAAAATAAGGCAATAATAATAGGTACATGCAAAATATTAAAATAAAATAAAAAAGATTCAAGTGTTTTCATTTTTTTAGTTTTATCTGGTTTTTCTTATTTCTTATATTATAGGTATCTTGTGTTAGCAAGAAGACGTATTTTACCATTAAAATAATGTAACAACCTGGAACCGGGAACACTTACACTTTACAATCATGACTGAAAGTTTATCCATTATCTCAAATGTAATGTGGTCACATTAATCCTTCCTCCATGTGGTCATTGACCAATGTAAGCCGAAACTAATCGCGACAATGCCTATTAAATAAACTTTATGCTGTGGTATTAATTCTGTGCTTTATTTCCATTTCACTATTGACTTTCTGTTTTATTTCCATTTTATTATTTAACAATCAGTTCAAAAACAAACAAATCACTCACAACATTCATAAAAATAATAAAGAAATAAGAAATATTTGTGGTTATGTAGGTATCAAGTACACAAAGTAGGCAGTGTTGTCACGGTCAAATGGTGATAATTCTCATCACTTACCCCGAACGCCTGAAGTCACCAATAAATGTAATAGTGACGATGAAAATATTTTAAAACATGACTTTTCAGCAGTAGTACATACTACTAAATGAAAAACGGCAAAAACGCTATAATCTTGCATTAATAAATTATAAATCAATTCATAAAAGTTCATTAGTTAATTAACAATACCCAAAAATCGGGTAAAATTATTGCTATTGGCAACGCTGCACAAGCGTGTCCTATAAACGGTGACGGTGGCGATCTCACGACGGCGGGGGTATGAAACTTAACACGCATTGACCTTGACGGTAAGAGTGGATACACTGTGGGATATATTGTGAGGGGATATAAAATATTGTGGGACGTGGGACAGTTCGAGAAGGGTCACGCAAGCTATATAAGTCGATGAGCCTGACGTCAGTTTTCAGTTTTATGATAGACGTTATAAGTTAATGTAATCAGTTGTATAGTTATTGTAAAAGTTGATTGAGATACCAAAAGCTGCGCAACAATATGTAGAATGAAATCTCCTAGTTTTTAGTTCTGATTTTAAAATCACTTTATATGATTTTTTTTTAAATTCAGTATATAAACTGGACAAATAAAAAGTAGGAGATATCATTATCCAAACCTTATACCTACTTTAAGCTGGTAGAAGATTAAGTTTAAAACATTTAGCGGAATTTAAGTGCAATCGGAAATGGTAAACCCTTGCTTCTTATAGGAAAAATACAATAAAACTGTGGCCTTAAGACTAGGAAAAAGTTACGTCAAAAACTCAAATATTTTTTAAACAAATATCAATAATGAGATTAATAAGATCGTTTTTGTCATTATAAAGATCTTCAATAATATCATAATGGTCAACGTTCTTTTGTAATACAAATTTCGATTGAAATCCAATTTCCTTAACATATTGATACATTCTATGTCCTTGTTCTATAAATCTGGGACTATCGTTTTCGGCAACAACTATTAGTATTTTACATTCGCCAAACTTCAAATTCTGATGAAGTGGACTGAGATTTATAGCAGATTCTTTATCTAACTTTAATAAATTGTTGTAAGAAGTTTCTAGTAGAGGTACTAAATCATACAATCCTGTTATTAAAAATGCGGATTTAAACAGTTGTCTTTGTTTTTCTAGAAGGTTATTGGGAATAAAATCAGTAAACAAGATGGCCACGATTTGTGCTCCTGCTGAATGCCCAGAAAGATGTATACCACTAAAAAAAAAAAAAAAATTAGAATTCCTATTATTGAATTTATAAAAAAGAAAATAATTCATACACAAATGTGATCAGTACGTAAAATAAAATAGAAATATAAACCGCGAAGCCAATGATTTCATTAGAGAATGTATATTGCTTGATGATTAGTCCCAATAAGGACGAATCCGGTCCAAGAATGATGTTCTCCCGTCAGATAGTGACAGGTTTAGGTGCCCCATTTTCGCATACAAGTCTCGAAGAGGGTTGAAAAGTTCATTGATTTTAAGTAGAATGAAACGAAATTTATGAGTGGCTCCTGGGGATAACACATGGAAAATTCGATTTTCCCTAACAAAAATGAAAGGTTATTTGTTGCTCATATTTCCACGCAATCGGTTTTCACTATATGCTTTATTAATAGAACTACGCTTCGGAAAACCAAAAGCTTTAATGTTGCAAGTGGCTAAATTGTTCAAATAGGGGCGTAATCTTCCAAGGAAAGTCAAGATTTTGTCCGATTTTTCCACACAAGCCCATCGAATATATGAAAACGTACATCGTCACTAGTCCGAAAAACATATTTTCTTGAATGACCCGAATGTATAAGTGCATTTTGGGGTCGGAAAATGTTTCTAAGGAAAATCGAATTTTCCATGTATTATCCCCAAGAGCCACTTGTAAATTTTCTTTTACTCTATTCAACATCGATGCACTTTTCAACCCTCTTCGAGGCTTGTATGCAAAAATGGGGCACCTAAATCGGTCACTATCTGACGGTCTATTAGCAAGTAAGCAAAATCAATGGTAGAGTGTTGGAAATTATTTTTTTTCTCTACTGTTTTCCTTTTGTTAAAATGTAATGCATCTTGCGGTATTATCCAAAGGAGTAGTTGTTATCACGAGGGAAACGGTCGCTCATATTATGTGACATTGGCTTCCTGATTTATTTTTCTATTTTATTTAATCTATAATAATTATAACGTATGATCCACAAAAATATCTTTATAAAGTGGGCCATGACCGACAAAGATGAAAAATGTTTACAAAGTAGGACTTGGAAATAATCTCGCATGTCGCAGCGTGTATAATTATTCTATATCAATGACAGTTTGGACACTTTAGAAATATTTTTTGTATTATTATTATATTTATATACAAGGTGTAACAAAAAGATTTACAGTAAATTTAACCTTAATTTCTGGGGTCGAAAATAAGTCAATTCAAGCTAACTTGTTTTTATATAAAAAATGGACAGTATAAAGTTACATGATGGTAAAGTTGAAATTTTAGAAGTAATTTTGTGCTCTGACTAGGGTTGCCACCTTTTTGAAAAGTGAAAAAAGGACAATGATGCTGATAGGGGATCCGGTATACAAAATATATAAAATGTCCTCATCCTTCTACTGAAAAAAAAGTCGATGTGTGTGTAACAAAAAAAAAGTGACCTCGTCCTTCTAAAAAAAAAAGGTCCTCACCTTGTATCAATAAAACAGGACATATGGCGTATAAAAGGACATTTAAAGCTTTAAAAAGTCGCAAGGACATTTCGCTTGAAAAAAGGACTATCCTTTTCAAAAGACAGGTGGCACTAGCTCTGACTCTAAAACGACACCATATTTAAAAACTTTGCGGTTGGTTAAGTGAGCCATCATTTTCTCATCAAAATTTAACAAAATAAGACATAAAATTTGGTAAATATCAAGTGTAATTAATAATTACTAATACAAATTACGTAAAAATACTTAGGTAGGTAATTATTTTTTGAAGAAAAAAACACATTAAAGTCGCAAAGTAAAGATAATTGAAAAATTCAGTATGATGGATGAATCTTTCTACCAATCTGGTTCAATATTGGTGAGTTGCAGCCTTAAATCTCCTCGTTCCTTGATTTTCAAACGGTTTCTTTGTTTTGTCAAAATGTTTGTAACTACACTGAAGCGTTTCGATTAGCTATGAGGATGGAAAAGCTATACGGTATTTTTCAACAATGTTCCCAAATACAGGATACAGGACAAAATAAGTGGTTAGTATCTTAATATTAAAAGGTCCGGTACTTTGTAATTAGGTAATCACATTGTTAAACTAATGAAAATCAAATTAAGAAAGATGAATGTAAATGTTTTAAGTTTTCTAAGAAATGGAAATATGAAAAGGGTAGATTATTATTTTCAGGTATATTCCAAAATCCTATCATAAACATTACCCTCGGCCGAAATTACCTATGCCATTAGATGGGCACTTTGCTTTTGGCAGGTAGGCGAGGGGATTACCGGCCGAAATTACGCCCGCCCCATAATCTAATCATTAAGATCAATTAGCAATTTTATTTTTACCTAACTTATCTAGGGATCAAAAACTTCATAAACTAAGATTCTACTCACTATATAGTGTACTTTAGAGTCTAATTATTACACTACCGTTAACGTATAACACTTAACTGCACTATACTCTGTTTTAATCTAACATCACTGAACTAACTCAAAAAGCCTGGTTCTCTTGAGTCTTCTTATTAGATTGGCATTGTTGAGGAGCTGGATAATCTCAAGGTTTCCATGTTGGAGCAGTCGTTGTTGATGACTACTGGCAAAGGTCCCTATAAAGTTCAGTATTACGGCAGTACCAGGATGCATTGACGATGTTCCTTAATGCTTTATCCTGGAAACGTTGAATAACTTAGATTTTTACTGGCACAGCCCCAAATCTGGCAAATTGCTTCATTTCCACCAATTCTTTAATTAACAATAGTTTCATTAATATTGTTTTAAATTAACTATAATAAAACAATACTCATGTCTAAACAAAACATGAAGATCCACCTAAGCAAGCATTTATTTATGTAGTTCTCACTTTAATTTCCAAAGACATATTCTGCTTCCCATATAACAAGTTCACAACGCATGAATATCAAAAACCAACTCAAATCTATAATTATTTAGAATATAGGCTTGTTTCTAGCTGGTGGCTGGACGATGAATTAAAAAATAAAACAATTACATATACTATCTTCTTAAAAATCAGAAATTCTTCATTAATTGTTGGCCTTTTACACCATAACCCGTTTAGTAACCTTTTGTATTTTTGTGTAACATGTATACCATGTTTCAGAAACATTTGCAGTGAAATATTTAACTAAAATATTTCAGAAACTTGTGTTTGAAATGTTATGTTTGAAACGTTTGAAATATTTCTGAAACATTTCTGAAATAACGTGTGCTGTATGGGGTACCACAAGACTAAAGTGCGTTTTAATCCCTCGAGTGAACAATCTTCACTCTCGGGATTAAAAGTGGCAATCCCAGAAAATTTTACAGAAAAAGTATAATACAATGTTCTAAATTAATATCAAAGGTAAAAGTAAGAACTTTGATGAAATACTTAAGACTGGGCAACAGACTGCTCCATAATATACAGTACTACCGTTACCGGTTACGTAAGTAGCAAGCGATCATTGGTATCTCCATCTATGAACGCAGGACGAACTGTTAGGTCTGCCATGTAAAGACTAAAGATGTTAAAGATGTGTAACTTGTACACATTACTGGGCTGACCTTTATGCGATATTATTGCGATTTATAAAAATTAACATCGTATAAATGTTTGTCACAGGAAGTAACTAAAAAGAAGTACAAAAGATGGTTATGTAACTGTTAATTCAAGTATTGCAGTGTATATAAAACTTCATTTGTAGATATATGCGAATGTTAATGAATATGATGTTAAACTTTAAACATATATGGAATATTTTAGTATCGTTTCAAAAATATATCAAGAAAAGTCTCTATGAGAAAACTTACAAAAAAGACTGGTAATGTTTCATGTTTAGTGGGCAATGATACATATATAGTTATATAGATTGCTCAAAGCGGGTCGTTTGCGAGCAGCCATATTGCCTGGCAAGTGCTCATTAATTTGAATTGGTTTAGCAAAAATGTATTTTAAAAACTAATTTCTAGCTTAAAATATATTAAAAAAAATTACCAAAATTTTTAATTCAATGTGTATTTTTAAAACATGAATGATCAATTTAGATAACTATATCTGTTAGCAAGTAAACAAATGTTTGTTAATTGGCAGTCAAGAGCGGGGAGTACGGGGAACTGATGACGGTAGTAGCGTACAGTCGTCTGCGCTCCTCCAGGCAGAACGGATTGGGTCGCCTTGAGTGTATATAGTGTGATCAGCTGTTGTTGCTGTTGGAATTGTATTCTATCTGTAATCACTTGGTAACTAAATAATTATTTGACTTAATAATTAATAAAATCTAACATATCTATGTCAATGACCTTATCAAATCACCAGGCCCACAGTGCTGCCATATCATAACCTATCATGTACCCCTCAGTGGCCTGTCATTACCTACGGCCAACCATTTTGTTTGGAATGCCTGATATATAAATATTCCATGTATCTTAGATCGAGAAAACTTTTCCTAATGAAACCATTTTCGTCATCTGATTTGTATACGGATGAGCAATCTATATAACTAACATTCGTCATGCCTGTGATAACTACACTCGCCTCTGAATTAAATCCAAACTGTCATGTGTAATTTTGTCCAAGGCGTACTTTCTTTAGCAACCATTTTTTGTGAAACATACTACATATCGTCCTCAATATCACGAAGTGTCGTAACTCGAAAAAATTGAAAATTGAAATGTCACATATTATGTAAAAAAGTATGCTCTAGAATTTCAGGAAATTGCGTATCTCAATTCAGTACATTTATTAAAATAGCACGTATCTAACCGGTGTATCTGATAATTTCACGAAGAGACGTAACTTTATAAAAAAAAAACTTTAAAACGCTCTCTTGTAAAGTTGTAAAAATCGAGTTACGTCACTTTGAGATGTTTTGCATAAGAACGTGATATAATAAATTAAATCAAAGTAAGTACCTAATTTTATTTATATCCACTAACGTTAGACACATTTTTAGAGCTTTCTTTATATTTTCAATTAAAATTGTCAATGACACATTTGGACAGAGTTCGTAACCTATAAAAACTGATTTGATTTTATGTAGATATAAATTTTTGGCTATAAAGGAATTGTTATCATGGCGTACGCTAGTTTCTTGCCAATATCCACCGTGAACGTGTATAAAAACGGGAGATTCTAAAAAAAGGTAGATTAATTTTAATTCTGTTTAATATCTTAATAAATATAATTAACCTACCTTCTGGCAAATTTATGCCAAAAATGTCTATAAGTTCTCTTTTCCCAGCACCATAGGGAATATTCAACTTACAAGGTATAGATTGTCTGACGATTTGACTGTCTAAAAAGAAGATAAAATACAAATGATTCGTTAAAATCTGTAAGTTTTCTACACATGTCGTCAATATCACGAAGTGACGTAACTCGATTTTCACAACTTTACAAGAGAGCGTTTTAAAGTTTTTTTTTTATAAAGTTACGTTTCTTCTTAAAATTATCAGATACACACGGTTAGATACATGCTATTTTAATAAATGTAATGACTTGAGATACGCAATTTCGAGAAATTGTAGAATATACTTTTTTACATAATATGTGACTTATCTCAATTTTCAATTTTTCGAGTTACGTCACTTCGTGATATTGACGACGATGTGACACATTCCTTATTAATGTGAATAGGATATGTGGAAATAATAGGCACATTCCCGAACAATTAAACTATATTATTCTAACTCGTAAATTACAAATCCCAACTGCTAAATTCATGTGTCCGAACACCGACAATATTCCACACGCATGACAAGATGCGAGCGCATAATATCAAATAAGGAATAACAATACATTACAACATGCATATGGATTCAAAGCTTTACTAGATTTTATTTTATGTAAGTAACTATTAATTTGTATTTCTATCTTCATTAGGTATATAATTTATCATCCTTGTTATCTGTATTGTAGGCCTGAAGATGGTCATGTAGGTGAAACTGAACCTATGCTGTGATATTAATTTTCTGCTTTATTTCTATATCAAAATCCTGGCCTCTTGGACTCTAACCACTAAGGTACCCACCCCATCATAATGTAATAATTAAATGTGATCTAATTTACAAAAATCTAAATTTTTAAAACTCTGTTCCACTGCAATAGTATTTTTTTGTGGTTATACATGTGTGAGGCAACGGGTTAAAGTCTGGACTTGTGAATTCAAGGGCCCGCGGTTCGAATCCCACCGTTGGCCTAGATTTATTTCCTTAAGGTAATTACAACACCCCTTATAATTTTAGGACAAGCATATCTCAAAAACTATTTTTTTAAAAAAATTAAAATTTTCGGCAAAATAAATGAGGCAATATCTAGAACATGCATATATCTTAAAGTTTTAATTCCTTTCAGTTTCCAATAAAAAAATGAAAGGGCTTTAAATTTTGAAATATCATAATGAAAATAAATGCATTCCTTAACAGCATTATTCCTAATATAATCCCGAAATTTAAGCGCTATTAACCTCTTGTTAATTATTTTTTTAAATTCGCCGAAATTAGTGGGTAAGACGCCTCGTTAAGTGCTGCTTTCTGGTGTAACGCGTCTGTAACTATCGTATTGTATACTCTCAATCATCATTCGTTTCTTGCAACGAAATACACCAGTTTACACTAATTTTAGCGAATTTTAAAAAATCATTAACAAAAGACTAAGAGCTTAAATTTGGGGATTATATTAAGAACAGTTGAGGAATGCATTTATTTTTATTATATTTCAAAATTTAAAGCCCTTTATTTTTTTTCTTGGAAACTGGAAGGAATTAAAACTTTAAAATATATGGATATTCTAGATATTATTGCCTAATTTATTTTCCCAAAATTTTAATATTTTAAAAAAATTACTTTTTGAGATATGTTTGTACGAAAATTATAAGGAGGTGATGTAATCACCTTAAAAATAATTATTCTGATGCCTAGGTAGGTTTCCCCAATCGGAACATTCACTGTTGGGTTTTAATTAATAATGCTGTTACTGAATGCGCAGAGCACACAGTCATTAATCCTTAACTTGGCAATGTTCATCAATATATACACACCTATTTGATTTTTTTATAAACTTAGGTAAACCTCAAATTTAATTATATGTTGAAATAGCAATGTGAATCTGAATACACATCTTTTATAATAGTTCATAACCTCGTGTGGCTATTTCTAAATTTCGCAGTATCAAATCTGTCAACTTTACTTGGTTTAATCTATGAGTTTAGTTTTGTAATCGCCGCTGAGCATCTCCAACGAAAGAGATGGCGGCTTCATTGATAGTTTCGCTGAGAGGTCAGGTGTAATTGTTTTGCAGTTACTTCCTCAAGAGAAACCCAGTTTTCGTGTCTCGTTCAAGCGCTGGGGACAAAATATGGCCAGCAGCATTTGAAACCAACTAAAGGTTCGTAGTCAAAAACACAATGAGAGTTTGGCCTATCCACAGACACCCAAAGATTTCCTCGAACAAATCGGCATACAAACATTTATTGATGGACTACAGGATGTAGAAATGCAGCAAGCTCTACGGTTACAACACTACAAGACGGTAAGTGAGACACTGATTGCAGCCCAGAAATACGAAACAGCAAAAATCATATCTAGATCCTCTCGCGCAAAATTGAGAGAAATTAGACTTTAGGAAAGTGAAGAGGCTACTACTAATACTATCTTCTCTCTTACAAATCTTTAACGTCCTACAAAATATGCAACGAAACAAAAGAAGATACTTTAATAATTATGGAAGAACCTCCAAAGAACCTGTAGAAGCAGGACTCGTTTTATAAATCGAGAGTCGGGAAATGAGGCTAGAAATTCACCTAGTTCAACCTCCTAAAGCCAGTCATGAAGTCCAACAAGAAATAATTACAGCACATATGCTTTTCGGAGAAGCCGGTCACCCACACCTAGCCGGCTTTATAGCAATAACCAGGGGAAACGAATAAGTTCGACTTACACCTTAAAAACTAACAAAATTTATTGGTCAAGGGATACATCGACCACCAAAAAAACACCGTCATTGATACTGGTGCAACCAAATCTGATTCGAAAACTACGACCATCTCGAAAAAACTTAGTTTTGTAAACAGCTACAGAGCACAGTAGACCTGTTCTAGGAGTGATTTCAACCATACAGACTGGTAATACCCTTCCAAGTAACACAAGAAGCCATAAAGAAGCTTGCAAGTGGATTTCAGAGCTAATACTGAAACTAATAAGCATTTAAATCTGGACACCAAAGTTTCTAGATTATTATTACGTAACCGCAGCCAAAAGGGAGCGCGTGATTTGGCACGCAAGAATATTTTGTGGCTTATTAGATTTTATACTAATAAGTCATGGTGACCAGAATTGGGACTTTTGCGTTTCTGGTGCTCAAAAGCATTAGCATTATATTCGATTTTATGGCTAATATTAGCATTTAGTGCGATAACGAGAAGCAGCCGTTTGATCAAGATCAAGATGTAGCTTTCACTGCTTAAGGCGCGCATGCGCAAATGAAACAATAAAAATATGTCTGTTAAAATCCAATTAGAAATATAATGATCGTATGTTGGCAGTTATGATCTTCGTTGACCAAAACAACTAGGTCTTCTTTTTATTAAGTGATGGTAGGCCATTTTCAATAAATGATAAATATCTCATTAATAAAAACGGAAATTAGCAGTTTGAATAACCCGAAATCTTTGCGAATATTACTTTTTTTGTTAAATATGCATGAAATACCTCTTATATATAAACGAGCAGTTACATATTTAATAAAAAGTTTAATTTATAAGTGAGATTGTTAAATTATCAAATGCGGTGTTATCAAAATTTATTTATAATTTTTCTATAATTATAGTAGCTGATTGAACAATATTTTTTGTTACCTATTTGACAAACATATTAATTCATATGATGAATACCTTACTAGGTATATTATATTCATTCAATCAAGAAAAGCAACTCTAGGATAGTTGAGGAGAATAGATCAAATCTAGTAATTTACTTAATATTTAACAAGTTTTAATTATTCCAAGGGGGCTTGGGGGAGCTAAGCCTTCCAAAAACCAAATTAGCCACCCAAAATTAATTCGAGCATTTATCGCACACCGTCCCACACATTTCAGAAGAGAAATTAAAAAACAAAAAGAATCGTGCCATTTGATTAATTCTGCAATTCTACATTTAGTCTAGGGACAGTGAATTTTTTCGTACTCATTTTTCCAGTCGGTGTATATGAAAATAATTTGTTCTCTTGGTGACAAAAACAAAAGAGTCTGGCACTATTTTCCCAGTCATAAATATTTTACATTTGCTAAACTAGAACATAAAATTTATAAAAATAGCAGTCTGCCTTATCTCATATACCGGAATTTTCGGATTAAAAAAATTGACTGATATTTTTCCAGACTTGAAATTTATCACATGCTGTTATTTTAAAACGATTCCATGACAACCCATGTGACAACCAGAAAAATTTCCGGAAATTTTTCTCTTAGTGGGAATCCTGGACGAAATTATACTGAAAATTTTTTGACATTTGAGAAGCTCTTTCATGCATATGATCGACGCAACTAGCTAAAAATTAATAGACTACATTTATTTTAAGTAAAATATAAATTAGGTTTTTCGAGTCAACTAAACGACATCAATGATGACAAATGGCCATGGTATGGCCAACTTTGCAAATTTGATTTTAGTCGTTTTAATGCATGTCTGTCAAGTTATGAAATTTTAATATTTTGGTGTAAAATTTTCTTACCGAACACGTGCCTAAATTATTATCAGTACATTTTTGCCGATTCGAAAAATTTCCGAAAATAATTTAAGCTAGTGTTATTTATTCTAAGTGAAAATATACGTCTGGCTGACATTTACAATTACGAAGGCCAGCCAGACTTACAAGACCGAAGGTTCGGTTATGGTTTTGGCCAACTTCGACCTAAAATAAGAGTTTCGACTACAGTTTGGGATTCGGCGGAAAACTGGTCGAAACTGCAGCCGAAAGCGAAACTATTTTCGAGAGTTTTCGCATCACATTTGGTGGTGTCCGGTGTCCGGCACAATGGCGACTGTGCCGAGTGCCATTCCTAACATAGTGCTCGTACCAGTGTTGCCAGTCTAGTACAATTGTACTAGATCTAGTACATTCTCTGAGAATCTGGTACTTTAGTACACTCGAAACAAAATCTAGTACTTTTTCAGCGTAGGTATGTTTCCATTTGAAGTGTAAAATATATTGGTCAAAAATTGCAAGAGAAATCAAAATAGTTGTTAAAAATTACTTCAGAGATAAAATAGTAGACATTTCTCGAAAGATAAAACATTGTTTAAAAATTGCACGAGATCAAATATTGTTCAAAAATGGCTTGAGAGGTAAAAAATTGGCCGAAGTATAAAATAGTATTAGAAATTGCTTGAAGGGTAAAGTATTGTTCAAAAATTTCTCTAGGGATAAAAATACTATTAAAAATTTAATGAGGGATAAAATAGTGTTAGAAATTGTTAAAATGTTGCTCAAAAATTGCACGAGACATTAAATATTGTTCAAAAATAGCTTGAAAGGTAAAACTGGCTTTAAAAATTGCTCAAGTGATTAAATAGTGTTAAAAATTGTACAAACATTGCTCGAGATAAAAAAAAGTTGTTAAAAATTGCTCGAGAGATAGAATACTGTTAGAAATTGATTGAGAAATAAAATATTGTTTAAAAATAGCCCAAGAGATAAAAAAAGATTTAAAAACTGTTCGAGAGATAAAATAATATCAAAAGGTATTAAAATCTTTTTTAAAAATTGCTCGAGAGATGAATTAGTGTTAGAAATTGTTAAAATTTTGCTCAAAAATTGCACGAGAGATCAAATATTGTTCAAGAATAGCTTGAAAGGTAAAAAAGGCTGTTAAAAATTGTACAAACATTGCTCGAGGAATAAAAAAAAATTGTTAAAAATTGCTCGAAAGATAGAATATTGTTAGAAATTTATCGAGAGATAAAATATTGTTTCAAAATAGCTCAAGAGATAAAAAAATTTAAAAACTGTTTAAGAGATAAAAGAGTATCAAAAGGTATTAAAATCTTATTCAAAAACTGCTCAAGAGATAAAATAGTGTCAGAAATTTATCGAGAGATAAAATATTGTTTAAAATTGTTGTGTTCGTGTTATCTATAAACCTTTTTTTGCTCTTTAATGACCATACTTCATAATTAGAAAAATCTGGTAATTTTATAGAATCTAGTACATTTTTATGAAATCTGGTACATTTTTTAGATAAATCTGGTACATTACAAAAATATATTCTGGCAACAATGGCTCGTACACACAAACTTCTCCGCTGTGTTCCAAGTGAACAGTCTTCAGTGCTCCTGGCATAATAAAAACATTTCTATCTTACAACGTTAGACTGTTTACTTATGAATATTAACTTAATTATAAGTAATATTTTATCAGCTGAATTCGTTTGTTTTTTTTTTTTAATAAAAATTATACATTATTTATAATTCCCTTTATAATAATATTATTTCTTACAAAAAATCTACTACAGATACAGAAATGATTGCTACTTTGTAATTCATTTACTTTTTTTTTATTTCAAAATATAATAAAAAAAAATGTCAATAAATTTATTAATGACTTCTTTTGATCACATAAATAAACAGTATAATAATGAGTAAATGTTGCTAAAATTTATAATACGAGTTAATTAGTTTAAAACAAGGATTACAATAAGATATTGCAAATTTCAATAAGCAATTGCCTTTAAATAAAGTTCCTGTTTCTGTTTCGGCCGAAACTAATAAAGGAGCCGACATTCGATTTCTGTTTCGGTTATAAATCCGTTTCGGTCGGACCTGACAACCAGGTATTGCGTTCAACTGAACGAATATATTTCATATCCATTCTTTATAGGTAATGAGAACACCGCAAAATCTTAAATCCACCAATCACAGTTCATATTTTGGACATCCAACTTATAATATTATTATCTATAGAAAAATGTTTCGAGTTAGATGTATGTGAAAAATGTACATATTTATATTATCCTCTAAACATTTATAGCGGTGCTGCAATAGGTTGTACAAAATAACCGGAAATGGCTTATAGTAACTAGATAGGAAAGTCATGTGTTGGACACATCAGATTTTTAATTTTATGTTCTTTTCTGACGATTCCTATATGTTCTTGTAATGTCTATAGCCTTGGTTTCTTTGAACACTTCGTCGCGGTGAGCGGACAGTCCGTCAACCGTCGCGTTTTGACGATTTTATCCAACCAGAGTATTTAAATGGGAATGGTTTTCTTGAATCCGCTTAGCTGAGCAGGACGGCGTCATGCCGCTGATTTGTCGCGAAGAGTCGGTTGATCTCTTGAGTTTGATATCAGCGGAATCGTCGGCGTGTGCGGAGACTATTGTTATTAATTTTAAAACAATGAGTGACAAATTCACACATACAGATGACATCATGACTTTATTTTTAGGTTTCTTGGAAATTATGTCCTTTATAAAACTCAACACGAATTCAAAAAAATCTGTAGAAAGTCTAAAATACTCCCTAAATTTGGTTTCATTTCCAAGAAGCCTCCACTGCACAATGATATTAAAGGCACCTTCTGTATCGCGACAGTGATCGCGACACAAAAACAACTCATCCACTGGCTTATTGGAAACTTTGACGGTTGCAATTACCAGTTCCTCTTGTTCTTCCTCTTCCAACAATAATAACAACGCAAACAATTTATTTGCATCCATTTTAGTACCTTTCGTTTACATTCATAATACATAAACAGCACGTACAGACATAGAGAAAGTATCATTTTCTATATTTTTTAACAAACCACCTTGGGCGAAAATTGCTGTCCTCAGCGGTCAACGGACTGTCCGCTCACCGCGACGAAGTGTTCAAAGAAACCAAGGCTTATAGGAAAATAAAGATTATTATTATTATTCTTGTTCATTGGTTGATAATTTTATTGTATTTGATCTTTTCTCAGACAAGTAGTTTTATTGATTTTAGCAATATTTTTATTAAATTTTCGATATCTTATTCATCCAAGGAACGATTTAATTTATTTTGACAAAATTAAAAGTATGCATATAGTTTTTTTTTTTTTTTTTCGGTTAGAATAGTAGTGTTTTAATCTTGTTGGAAATTACTATTCTCTTAAAAATCTAGGTAAGAGATAATATAATATGTTACATTAGTTTTGTTATTATGCAACTGATTCTAATTAGAAAATAACATATTGAAAAGAAATTATATGTGTATAAAAATTAATTTTTCTTACAGTTTTCGATTAACTCAATATGTTCTTTACATCTTTCGATTCCTTGTCTTCTTTTAGACCATTGACTTGGAGAAAATTCGATATCTAAATTTGACTCATACGACATGTTCACTATCTTATTTATTAATGATATTTGAAAACGATCAAGTTTGTTATCAATACATTTATGTGGAAATAATCTGAAACCTTTCAAGTAAGCGTATTGAATTTCGAAGTGTGGAGTAATAAGAACAGAGTCGGCATCTGGAAAGTTTGAATAGAAAATAAACAATTGATTTTTCTTATGAATTATTGTTCTAGACCATAGGTTCCCAACGAGGGCCATCCCGCCCCCCAGTGGGCGCTGGAACTTTCTACGGGGGCGGTAGAGTAAAACAAACTTAAGTTTGGTACACCCACGTGTCGATCCGATGGTTGCGTCGTAGATTTGTTGACTATCGTTACCATGCCAACCTCTAACGCGGCAGTCAAATGGCGGGGCGTTAAGGCAATAAAGAGGGGTGATTCCTACCCTATCACCACTAAAATATAAAAATATTTATTTTTCAAATAAATATATATAAAAAAAGTTTTTAAAATATTTATACGCAATTCATCCAAGCCAACAAGAACAAGAACTTGTAAACTTGAAATGACTCGTTTATAGAGCAAGTGTGCTGGCATCGCAAACATGCAAGTTAATACGTGCATACAGTAAAATCTATAAAATGGATGTTTTGTTATTTTAATGTGCTTCGCCGTGAGACATAGTCGTGAGATATTATTTCTATAATTATCTATAAATCTGTTGATAAATTAATTTTCATTTCAAAATGTCTGAATCTACGTCTAAACAGAAATGCCGACAGTACAGTATTAAGAATTTAAAATATGTGCCTAATTTGCCTAAAAGTTTTATTTAAATAAAATGGATACTGGTAAGAAGAGTATAGATTTATCCTGTTTTCAAGGACTGGAATAGTAGTTTGTGCAACAAGGGTGGATATGATGGCCATATCGCAGGAAGACGAAATTTGAGCACGACGCCGTACGCGAAGTGCTCAATCTTTGAGTGCGATGTGGACAATCCAGTCGAGCTGTCGTTTGAAAATTACCTCGTTTTGCTCATTTTACTCGAAGGCGTTCTTTTAATACATCTGTGGCTTCTCGATGGGATCTACTTCGTGGTCTTTTAATGCAGAGCTGGTAAGTCGAGTAAGATCTATTTACCCCGAGTTAAATTTTAGAGCTTTCGGAGTAAATGTAATTTCTGTGACAATTGACAAAGTAAATGCACTTTTTTATATGTACAGACGTCGTTCGTTGTCTCTTGTGTTGCAGTTTATTCCTTTTCATGTGTTTGGTTATTAAAACAAAATATTTATAAAAAATGTCAGAACAAAAATGAGAACATGGTTTTTTTTTAGTGAAAGCAAAAAACAGCACAGCTAAAAATTAACTTAGCAATTTGCAACAAAAACCACGAGACGAGAGATTAAATTTGATTTAAAAGTTTATTTTGATGAAAACCGAAAACGGGAAACACAAACAAATCCATAGTCGTTCTTTTATTCCACATAAGCTCGATGATCACGTGACTAAAAAATCTACTAGCTCTACTCCACTCCGGTAGGTACTTTTCAAACGTAGCAAGTGTTTCTACGACCCACCAACGAAAATTTACAAATAAAAAATATATTTTAGGTTATTAAGACAAGATAAGTAATTTTAAAATAATTTATGACTTTTAATAAAATAAACGAAAAAGAAAAAGTTCATTTCATTTTTCGCCATCCGAGAATCGAACTCCAGTCTTCCGTTTGGAAGGCAAGAACGCTCATCATAGCACTATCTATTCTTTAATTTTTGTTGCTTTTAATACTCGTAATTAAATTGACTTCATATAGTTTTATTTAAATTAACAAATTATTTATAATTATAGACGAAATAAAAACAGAAATGCTATTATTTATCGATTCTACACAAGAATAACCCATTTTAATGTATGTTTAATCTCAATAACTAAAAAATATACTGACAATTAGTTTGACAGAATTGTCACTTATTTAAGGCATTCCAACGACCTGTCCAAATAATGGCTACCAGTCACATACCAGTGGGTAATGACAGTTTAGATATGGCAACACTGCTGTCATGTTGTCATTAACAGGGTCAATGATACATATATAGTTATATAGATTGCTCAAAGCTGGTCGTTTACGAGCGGCCATATTGTCTGATAAATATTTATTAATTTGAATCGGTTTAGCAAAAATGTGTTTTAAAACCAATTTTTAGCCTTTAGGTATTTAAAAAAAATAATTGCTTATATTTTTATTTTAAGGCATAAGCTTATGTTTATTTTGAAAAATATGGATGATCAATCTATGTAACTATCTATTTCATTGATCTTGTCAAATCAACAGGCCTACAGGGTTGACATAATTTTGCCATATCATAACCCGTCAAAACCCACTGGTAGCCATTCAGTTTGGAATGCCTAATAGCAGTCGGCTGATCAAAATATGAACGGTGATTGGTGGATTTCATTTTTTTGTAGTGTTCTCACCATAGATTACGAATGTGAATAGATGGGAAACTCAATGGAAAAATTCTGAGTCGATGTGCTCCCATCTATCAAATTGGAGTGGTACTAAAATTCAATATGGCCGCCACGAGCGGGCTTTTTGAAATTTAACTTTGTAGTAGCGCAAAAATGTAATGAAGAAAATCAAATAAAGCAAAAAAATTGGAAAAATATTTGACTAAATTCAAATCATAAAACAACCATATTGACTGTTTTGTGATTTGAAACTAGTCAAATATTTTGCCAATTTATATCTTTATTTGATTTTACTTCATTATATTTTTGCATTAATTTCAAACTTGAAATAAAATGCAATTTATTTTATTTTTTTTATTACAGTAAATTAACGCCGCATCACATAATTTGTCTATTTAAACATGGAAATACTCTAAACAAATATGCATTTACACCATTTAAATAATTAAATATTTATAACACAAACCTATCAAAAATGTATTCTGTAACAAAATCAGCATAATATAAGTGCTCAAGACTTTTATAAAAGTTTTGCGACTTGGAGTGGCAAATAAGTTTGAAAAAATTGAAGTTGAAGCATCATCCTTTTTTACTATTGAGGCAAATTTGAGTGTGGATTAAATTTGCCATATGGTTATCGAGTCGAATAGTTAGGTTGAGGAGCATTTCTTCATCCGATAATTGTTTTCTTGATTCATTTATACAGCACTTGTAGTTATTAAATTTTGATTCATCATGTGGGCACTGTGATAAATGAATTTAACTTGTGAGCATAAATTAAACTTACACACGTTTGGGCCCTTGAAGATTTTAGGGCGTTCTCTTGTTTGATGTCAATGGCATTAAATCAGTTTTTTGATATTGATGGCTGAGGCTCAAATATTTCATCAATCGACAGGGTATTTTGGAGGGCCAACATTTTCTTTACAACAATGATCATTTAAAAACTGAAAACAAAAAGAAATTTAAATAACAAACCAATTATTTTAACACTGAATCAAAAACAAGTTTGTAAATAGTACTTACCATTGATGCCAGTACAAGATGCATTTTTCTTAAGACACTTATTACAAATTGGTTGGCTATCATCCTTAATATGAGGACCTCATATTTAATACGCGGTATAAATTGCATCACTACCAATATCTGGGAGTGCTTTATTGTTCGTTGCTGAAATCCATGTTCCCATCTCATGAAAATATGCTTAAAATTGGAAGATGTTGAAAAATAAATCTAGATGAATCAAAATCCAACACACCTTCAAATGTGCTTCAAATGCAACTGCCATTTTAATTTTTCCAAGTTTGAAGTTTCGTTGACAAGCTGACAACTAACATGACATTTCTATACGAGCGCCATCCCGTTAATTGGAGTAGTACTAAATTACCGACCTCATGTTTTTCCATTTGAGTTACCAGCCCCTGGTTCTCACTACCTAGAATGGATTTGAAATATATGCGTTCAGTTGAAGGCAATAGCATACTTTTTCGTTTTGTAATCTGTGCGTAGATAAGCTAATACGTGGGTGTAAAAAAAGTAATATTTAAAACAGGCAACTGTATTAAACCATTTTGCGTTGCCTCATTTAACATTTCATTGTCAATCGCAAAAGCCGGAAAACCACACACAATTGGTGAGAAACTAAACATCGTCAGACATCATCAATAAAATTCCCCTCAGTAATAATTCAGTGCAAAGAAGAATCGATAAAATGGCAAAAGATCGTGAAATATCATTCTGTGAACACTTGCAAATTGAACTGACCCCACTGTGAAAAGACTCCACCTCCTCTTCATCCAGAAGGGTTTCTTTCCCTATAGAGGACTCTTTGGTGCCCTTTTCTCTGCTTGTGCCTGGATTATTCACCTTTTCGACAGGCTCTTGGTCATGTCCTCCTTTGATTTTTAATGTTATAGTCTCCCAATGCCATACTAGGGGACAGGTTCCGCTTTTTTAGCTCCTCTAAGGATCCAGGATTTATCGAGAAAGCCGCACCAGTCTGCACTGGAGCGGTCCGCGCAAGTCACCACCAGATAGACTGGCTTGTGGCTGCATTTTGCGAACCTCACCTGTGTTCCTTCTGTGGGGATTTTATCATGGGCCTCGGGGATCGAGTCTTGGACCTTTTCTAGTCTCCGTGGAATTATTTTGTTTTCCGGTTATCCTACTGCTACCACTGCAACCTTCACTGAGATAAGGGCTTCTTTTAACGATACTTCGTCCGTTCTAGCTTTCTTCCTTAGTCAGCTGACCTGTGGCGCTATCGCGTCTGTTGAGCGTGGACGCTCTGGAACTTGTTTGACTTTGTTGGCAGCTTCTCAAATTCTAGCATCTGGGGCGTTTGTGGCCTTGCTTCGGCTTCTAAAAATGTTTCCTAATTACCTGCATTTTTGCGGCTATGTAATTAAGGTCAGTTTCAAGAGCCTTCTGGAATGTCCCCCTAGACGGGCAGAGTTTACTTCGTCCTCGGGCATTTGGTCTACCTCTTCCAGGGAGGATGCGATGATTTTACGCTTTTTTCTATCTTTTCAGCTTTCGTTGACTTTGTTGTTTCCCCTTTTGAGATTGCCACTGTTGCCTTGATTTGCCCATTATTGTTTTTAGAAGCAACAAAGAGCAGGAAACGAATAATATCAGCGTTGCCAGTTTATACGGCCCGGCCATTGAGATAGAATAAATAGATGCTATGACGATACTGAAAGTGTCCGCAGTTTTGCATTACATATTTATGTCATATGTCAAACTCGAGCTAGTGGAGCTAGTTTTGATGAGAATAAATGCCATTGCTTTTCATTTAAATGATATAAAAACAGTTTCATTTCGTCGATCTTCAATTATTACAAAATTACTTACTTTAAAAAAACTATTCTAAGTCGCCATTTTGGTTAAACTCTAAGTGCGTCCATCTGTCATATCGTTACATTAAGATTAGGTCTGAAAGGATTTTGGCCATATTTTAGGCCATTTGCATCTTAGGCCTACGATATCACAAAATAGTGTTTATGTCCTCTCTATTTTTTCTATTTCGATGGGTCCGGCCAACGTTACAACGTTTGATTAACTTATTTTGAGTACATACAATTTTTAAATAATGTTTCTCCTAATCTATATTTTTTGTGGCATTCAACTTTTTACCTTTGTACTCTTCATTTTTACTTTCCTATCTGTATACAGATATAAGGAAAGTATAGGAATCATGATTTTTTTCGACCTCCAGTTTTCGACGGATTTTTACGTTTTGGAGTCCCCTGAATCCGTTTTGACTATTTTCGGGATGATGTCTGTGTGTGTCTCTGTGTATGTCTGTGTCAGTGTGTGTGTGTGTGTCTGTATCCACCATAACTCATGAACCGATACGAATAAAAACGCCAAATTTTATACTTAAGCTTTATTCCGGCGAACTGATTAGATTTTGGACAGAGTCGGAACATCTGGGGGGTACTTTATGGGTGGTCATTTTTATATTTTATGGAATATATTCGTTATTTACGTTTGGAGAAGAAAATTCTTCAAATCAAAGTTACTTACTATTTTATTATCAATATTTTTTGTTCTATACAAAATTTTCCTAAAATGGTCCGTATTCGAGAAATTTGACAAAATGTAAAAAAAATAATTTTTTATAAAAATTGTTCAAATAAAAATTGTTTGTAATATAATTTTTAACCTATACATAATTTCTCTAAAATGGACCGTATTCGAGATATTTGAGAAAATGTGTAAATTTCGAATTTTGAAGAAAACTCAAAAACGGATAAAGAAAAAAACATTAAATTTTAAACTTGTTTTATTTCGGCCTGACGTGAAATGATTAGATTTTGGACAAAGTCGGAACATCTGGGGGTACTTTATGGGAGGCCGTTTTTATATTTTATAGAATATATCTGTTATTTATGTTTGGAGAAGAAAATTGTTCAAATAAAAGTTACTTCTAATATTATTATCTATAATTTTTGCCTTATGTCAAATTTTCCTTAAATGGTCCGTATTCGAGAAATTTGACAAAATGTGCAAAATTCTGATTTTTAAGAAAATTGTTGAACTAAAAGTTGTTTGCGATTATCGATCTCTATAATTTTTGTTAATATATGATTTTTCTAAAATGGACCGTAATGGAAAAATTGGAGAAAAAGTACTAAATTTAAATTTTTCAGTAGATAGGAAAGTCATGTGTTGGACACATCAGATTTTTATTGATGCTATCGAACTGTGTTATTTGTTTGTTACGAATTATCAGAAAAAATATGAATTAAATTTACTTTGTTTTGAAGAATGATACATGGGCGCAGTTAATATTATTATTGCCGGCAGTTATTTTGAGTTTATTTTGTTATTTTTTTGGGGGGCATCTAGACACTTCTCAGCGACATTATTAACCTGCTGGACTTTGACGAGCTAAGAGGCTCACTGCCTCTACGTATCTCTCAGCAACAACCAGCCGATGAAGGATGCACAATGGTCTTAAGTGGTGTTGAGCAACCCACTCTCTCCCGCCTTAAAGATACAGATTTCTTTTGGTTGTCACTCTTTAAATCACCCTCAATCTAAGAAACTATTGATTCGTTGGGAAGAAAGGAGGAATACTAACTATAATAGTTGACTCATAGTAAATATACGGCTTATCATTAGGTATACCTTCAGTTAACTACAGTACAAAAATATTTCTCTCTTGGAATAAAAATCTAGGTATTTGTTTTTTTTTTAATTCACTACAAATCAAAAGTTATTTGACCTGTTTAGTTTTAAAATTAAAGTATGCAATACTTCAATAGTTTGAGCTCTTTTTACAAAATTTTCACAAACGTAGTTAAACTCTTTTGCATTGGTTGATTAACTCTCTCATACTGAATGAAACACAGAATTATAAAAACATTATTTTATATTTAGTGTAAACAATAAAGCTTAAATATTAGGTACATATTAATTTTTACATATTTGTTTGCATAGTATGTTAAGATATTTTAAAGGCGATTCTAGGCAGTTTTAGTGAACATTTCAAATACAGTTAGGCCCTAAAATCTTTCAGAAGCTAGGTAGAGAGCTCTTTGATTTTTTATTATCTCTCCATACCTTTGTATGGTTTTGTACTAATAAATTACCCACCCTTTATATTATAGTTACAATAATAATTTTTGCTAGTATTTGTGGTACGAATTTTGAGTTTCCTTATCACAGTCATCAAATTATTTCACTAAAGCAAAGAGATATTCAACTTTGTTTTAATTATTATTGTTGTTATTAATGAATGTTTTCCTCTTATTCAGTCCATCTGGGGGCACCCTGTATAAACCAGATTGTTTTCTTTCTATAGAGTATGAAGACAGAAATGTAGAGAGGAGAATCATGCTATAATCGATGAGCAGTAGCGTCATTTGGGAGCAAGCAGTACCACTGTCGCACACTGGTGTAAAATACCTTTAAAGCTGACAATAAATCATTAATTAAAATATTCGGAAATGATTTCTATTACATTTCAATAAACCATAATCCCTTCCATCATAAAACGCTTAGATAATCCCCAGCCAAGCTTTTGGTCACAACAGACCCTTCATATGTGTGATATGTGTTCTGTGAGACCCTTCAGTCGAAGCCAGGTACCTGCGACGACTATACGTGTGTTATTATTATAATAATTTTAACTGTGAACCGTATTCTGTAAATTATCTAATAATTTTGCAATGGAACCTTCAAGCTCAGGTATTTATCTACATTTTAATCATTGCAAATATCCAGCAATGCTTATATAGTTTTAGAAAATATCTCTAGAGTAACAGAATCGTCAATTGTTAGATAATTATATTAATCTCAGAAATTCTATGATTATTAGTTTTCTGTTCCGAAACAATCCGGGTTTTGATTATTGAGTTGTTGATTTGTATAATGTGTATTGATTGTAAATTTCAGAAGCAGTTAATTTTTTTGCACTTATTTGCTCTTTTCATCGTTTTTTATAGTCTAGTCAATCGGATTTATTTTTTGCTAACGTATCAATTATTCAATTTCTTAACGTTTTTGTTCTCAGGAACAGGTTCCAGCGCTATAGTTACAGAAAGAAAGGAATTTTTAATCAGGAGTCGTTCTAGGAGTAGTATAATTGAAGAGGAATTTAATAATTTGACAGAAGAGTTAAAGAAAAAAACAAAATATGATGACGAATACCTTAGGAACTTGATGAAAACATTGTTATATTTCAAATATCGTTGGAGAAAGGCATTTAGAGCTGAAGAAAGGTTTCGCAAAAATAATGTAGAATGGTTGAATACATCAATAATTGCATTTCATATCGAAGCAAAAAATCAGATAAAAAACGTGGTGGCCGGCAATTTCACGTAAGTTCTGACCGAAGAAAACGTTTAAAAACAGAACAGTTAAGGAATAATACATTTGTAACTATATTGAGTTACGCCACCGAAATCGGCTTAAGAGGATCGCATGCTTTTAAAGTGCTACATGAGATTACAAACACAAGTCCAAAGCATGTTAGTAAATACAGGGCAGCTTATAAAAAGTCACCAAGACAAGCAACGTATGTCAGGGGAAACGCTATAGCTGTCTTAGTGGATACAAAACTATCTCGGCATCAATATCCAATTATCAGGAGTACACCAGAGAAATTTCCCTCATATAAGATTGTGCAGGCCGCAAAGAAAGAGTGTTATCCCAGGCTAGAAAACATAAAAATAACCTCTACTTGCGCAGAAGTTAGTTTACAATCTTTACTTAACCACACTCTGGAGCGATTTCTCTCAATAGTGGAACCTGTGAAGTCGTCACTCAAGACAGACTAACTAGACAAGCTTTCTATGGTCCCGAAACTAATGATTCGGTAGCCTTTATTACTTGTATTGGCAAAAACCCGTCCAGGTTCTACAAGATACCGCAGGCACTTAAAAATTGAATTTATCAAAGAATATACCAGATAAAATCAGAATTGGTAACCAAATAAACATATTGCCAAATCTAGCAACATTTGCGGGTGACACTGCAATATTGGCAGTTAGCGGAACTGATACAGGGACCTCAGAAAAACTCCAGTAAACCAGAAACAGAATCAATCGATGAACAAGTAGAAAATAAAAATAAATCAAACCAAATCAGTGCATGTTTACTTTACCCTTCGACCAAATAAACAAAAATAAATAAGAATAAACAATGATGTTATTCAGGATTACGATTCGGTCAAATACCTAGGGATGAACCTAGATGAACGTAAATTCAAAAAATTATATTGGCTCCTAGGAAGAAAATCCAAGTTGTCAGTGTACAAAAAACTGCTGATTTATAAACAAATCCTAAAACCAATCTGGATTTACGGCATACAACTATGGGGATGTGCCAGCAAGAGTAATATCAACATGATACAAGTTTTCCAAAACAAAGTCCTAATATGCATCGTTGATGCACCTTGGTTCTATCGAAACGATTGTCTTCATGGAGGAAAGAAGAAATAAAGAGGTTTGGTGCGACTTCACTCCCACGTCAACAGAGAACCGCTGCAATTACTGAACAACTCTACACCATAGAAAAATAAAAAAGAGAAGGTTTAAATAAATGGCGGGACTTGTTTCCTTGTTGGTAGTTGAACCGTAAGCGCTTAGCTAAATTCAAACCCGTTTTACACACATAAAAAAATATGTTTTTGAAAAATAATGACAAAGAAATCAATAATTTTACTGATTTACCCCTTTAAATTTCACTTTAATATAATGTGTGTGATCAAATACAGGGATAATCGTTAATAAATTTAAAGTTAAAGCTAAATTTAAATAGTATTAGATGGTGTAAATCTGGCTTTGAAAATAAATTAGGTTATGTTGCTTTGCTATAAATATGTCAGCCTGATATTATTTTCGTTTTCAAATGCAGGTGATATTTTTTTCAAATGTAGGTGAGTAAATTGTAATAATTAAGTGTAAGTTAGATTTAACTAATTTAACTATAGGGAGGTTCTTAAGAAAATCATTAACTTCTGATTCATTTAAATTTTAATTGCAGAAGTAAGTATTTTTCTCACAAAACTAACAAGAAATTTTATGTTTTTCCTGCTATTATTACTCTAGAGATAAATGGATTCACATTTTAAACATTTTCGGTCAAAAAAATGAAAGGAGTTGTGAGCGAAATGTGTGAAGCCAATTTACAAACAAATATTGTAAAACCCGAGATAGAACCTCATCCTAGTTTTACTCATAAAGACCATGATGAAAAAAGGCGAATGATTTATTGATTTGTGTTCAAAAAGTTATTGTTCAATTTTTGGGTGATTTTCATTATTATATTTATTAAATAATACCCAAATATGTTCAAAAACTAAAATGATATTTATGTCAACTTGTTATTTTTTGCATAGTTCACCTATTAAGATCATAAATCAGATGTTTTCTATTTTTATTGACATTTTTATACTTTTTATTGCAAGAAAAATGTAAGAATTTAAAAAAGTTATGACTCGTGTTAATTTTAAATTTTATTTTTGTTTTGTTTTAGATATTCCTGGATATGGAGATTTTTGGAATGTGCATAAATGTGTTTCTTAATTAGGGTGAGTTTCAAAGCTCACCTGTATTGAAGCTGGAGGCTTATTGTACCCGAAATAGGCATTACAACTATTCTAGATTGAAATAGAAGGGAAAAGGCTTTAAAGGGACAATAAGTATAAGAATATTAGAATTAGAATGATTTGTCCTTGGATTAATAAGGAATATTTAAAACAATTGTGATTATAAATTAACTACTTTGACTTTTTATAAAAACTATATCCGGTTATCATATTATATTTTTATTTTTCAGTAATTTAGTGTGTGATATAGTGCTTGTTATGTTCAAAATATGCAGTTAGAAGATAATGATACACATGTAATTACATGGTAATTCTAAATAAATTAAACTTGTTAAATGTGTTTTATTTTTCAGTTAAAACAAGTGACATTTTCCATTTTTCAACATTTACCTACAACAAAAATTCACTAAACTTATTGTTTGTTTAGTAGTTGTAAGGAAAAGTTGTCAAATAGGAAAATGTTACTTCAAAATATCTCAAATAGCTCAAATATCTAATTATCAAGCCCGCCAATTTTTAAATCGCTTTAATTAGTAGTGTTCTACTTTATCGACTGAAACTGACAGGTGTAGTTCAACCGTAAGCGCTTAGCGCGCTACTGTCGAGGTCAAGCAAACTTGTTACTAATTATTTACATGGAATCCGACCCCCGTGCTCTACACTCAACAGAAGGCTCAAAAGGAAGAAGCCATTTAAGCTAGTGCAGTGAACGTTAATTTTAGTGCTAATGTAAAACAGTGTACAATCTTCACGCCAACTTGTGGTGCTTTCCTATAGAAACAATTAAGACAGCCCATTGAGGACTTCTTAGATAAGTAATTAATTCATAAGATTTTTAGATTAAAATTGTAGGTTAGTCAATAATGACTAGTAGCAATACTCTAAAAAAAATATTATACTGCAACAATTGAAGGAAACTACTTGGAAGTAAATCAAAAGTTAATTTTTGCTATGATTGATAGCAAAATCTGTAAAGCATTGACTGGCACGTCATTAACACAAAAATGTTATATAAGTGTTGCATCATCCAAAGATTTTAATCGATTCAATAAAATGACTGCAAGGGGCATAAATACTGATACTTTGGTATTTGGATGTTATGTTGGAAATTGGGTGTTAATACACTGCGACCTAAAAAGATCTAATGCAGAAAGGAAATGTCTCGATGTCTATAACAACCCTTCCAATCTTATCTTTTCAAGGAAGTGTAGGATTTGGAGTGGCTTCAAGTTAAGTAAATCTCCCTCTTCTATTTGATATGCTATGCTCCACCTCGAGGTGAACATGATAAAACAATCGTTTTAGAAAATAAGACAGTATTGAAAAAGCATTTCAAGGAATTATGTGGATTAATCACAGATAAACCCAAACCTGGGTTTGGTAACACAAATGACGGGAACACAGCCAGGTGTTTCGTCAAGAATGCCGAAATTTCTGCAGAGATTACAAAAATTAACATAGAGCTTATCAAAAAGATGCATATTATAATGATAGTAGTTTCAAGTGGACATGAAATTAATGTTGATAAATTCATAGAATTTGCCTACAATACCGCCAGATTATTTGTTGACAAGTACCCTTGGTTTGGTATAATAATGACACCTACTTTACATAAATATTTTATTCATTGACCAGAAGTAATAGCATCAGCTTTACTTATAGGCCAATTAAGTGAGGAAGCACAAGAAGCTCGAAACAAAGATTTAAAAAAATACCGGGAACAATACTCGAGAAAATGTAGTGGTGCAAAGTCTAATTATTCTTTAATCTCCAATCTCCAACAAATGAAAATTAGAAAAGAAAAAAACAAAACCTTTCTATAAAAGATTTAGATTTGCTAAAATGTGAAGATGATGAGCTTGATGTTGATGGAAATGATGAAGATGACGAACATATTTCAGAATTAGAAGAAGGTTTTGTTGAGTAGTACGGTAAGTTTTGCAAAATTAAAATATTCAGATGATACAAAATCCTATTACTGTTGTTTTAAAATAAAGGAACATGTATGATGTTTATGATTTTTCTTTTACAGTCAATTCATAGAGTCTGCTATTTATTGCAAACTTTGATGGTCAGTTGCCCCAGTGTGCGTCGGTTGCACACCATATTATATTTTGTAGTAACATTGAACAATGCGAATCAATAAAAACGAATGCTTAAAATTTGGTACAGAAATATCTAACATTGGACGCAATCTTCAGAGAATTCTAGATTTCTTATGAATAATTTTAGACTATACCTTTATAAAAATTTTCAGCTTAAAATTGCCGGTAAAATTAAACCCTTAAAATATTTATCTTAACGTACTTACAAAATCCCCAGTATAGACAATTAAAATAAGCTCTAAAAAGGAGTACGATGAGCTATTCAAGATAAGAAAAATTACTATAAATAATGTAATAAAATTTAGTAAGAGCTAAGTTATTAGATCAGCTTATAATTTTAACTAGAAATGTGTTACTAGTGGAAGTTAAGTGAAACGGTGGTGACTCTAAAATTGTTTAAATTAATAACAAAACTTTCCATATGAACTAATAACTTAACTCTCCGTTTGAACATTTAGATAGGAACTTAACTTCAAAAAATCTGAAGTCATTTTTACCGGGCAGTTTATAAAAAAATAAAGGGAAAACAGACACAGGTAAAAATGATATAAATAAATATAATATAAAAATAAGTATATCCTTTTGTATAAGATAAATAAAATATTTTGTATAATATCAATAATGTGGGATAGTAGTTTCAGCACTATCCAATATTATTTTGTGAAACTAAAACTGTAGGCGATACTGGGAGTAAAACGTTAAATCCGCCGTGTAAAACGCAAACCTTTTTTACATTACATCGTAGTAAAAACGTTGGAAACTGAAACAAAAAATTAAAAAATTAAATATACTTACCCAATAAAGGAAAGTTTAATTACTATTTTTTTATTTTCTTTATAAATAACAAAAATAAAAAATAGTATACAGTATCGGTCAACGAATATCTTCTAATATCCCTTGTAGTCTAAGATCCGAAGTAAGGTCGACCTTCACCCATCTGTTTAATGGATGAGAGTATCTTTTTATTAAATAAAATATTTTTATAAATATAGTGCAAAAGGTTTGCCTAAGAAAATACGGTCCAGACTATTTATTTTCTTAAAATAAAAAAAACGAAACCCTGTAAAGTATTCCCCAGATGCTTCGACAATGCCTAAACTTTAATCAGCTTACCGCAGGATAGATTAAAGCTTAAGTTTAAAATTTGGTGTTTTTCTCTTTATCCGTTTTTGGGTTGTCTTCAAAATTCGAAATTTGCAGTTTTCCTCAAATATCTCGAATTAGGTCCATTTTAGGGAAATTATGCATAGGAACAAAATAATAGAGAATGGCATCGTAAGCAACTTTTATCATGATTAATATACTTTCCTTATCTGTACACAGAAAGGAAAGCCATAAATGGCCCTGACCGTATTTTGTTAGGCAACCCATTTGCGGTATATTTAAAAACATATTTTGTATAATAAAAAAAAACTTTTATCCATTAAACAGATGGGTGAAGGTCGACATTACTTACGGATCCTGGACTATTGGCGCAAATGCGTGTGAAAACTACAAAGAGCCAGCACTAGAGCAAGCAGGAAAAAACAAAACCAGCAATGCCAGCCTATACGGCCTGGCGAACGTTACAACGCGATCAGGTCTTATAAATAGTTAAGGGAGGTTGGAATATTAACGAAAAATGGGGATAACGTCTATTACTTTTGAAAAAAAAAACTGATTAAAAATGGGGGGTTAAGAAGGGTTGAAATTAAAAAAATCAAATCAAACGAAAAGCGATAACAGCATGAAATTTTTAGTAAAAATCAAGCTCTATGAGGAGATGAAGCTCATTGATTATAAAAAAAATCTAAACAAAAATGGGGTGTTAAGGATGTTGAAACAAAAAAAATCATACTCAAAAACAAAAAATGATATCAACTTGGTGGTTAAGTGGAGTTGATATAAAAGAAGTGAAATTCAAAGTAAAAATCAAGTTCTATAAAAGATGAAGCCTACTGATTCTGAAGAAATCTGAATAAAAATGGGGGCATAAGGGGATTAAAATATAAAAAAAATCCTAACTTAAAAACGAAAAATGATATCAACTTAAAATTTGATTTTGAAAAAAATATAAATAAAAATGGGTGGTTTAGGAGCGTTGAAATAAATTTTTTTTTTAGTAAAAATCAAGCTCTATAAAAAGATGAAGCATAGTGATTCTGAAAAAATTGAAAAAAAATAGGGGATATTCAAATATTAAAAAAAAGATCCTATCTGAGAAATTAAAAACGATATCAACACGACATCTTCAGGAAAAATCATGCTCTATATGGGATGAAGCATATTAATTCTGAAAAAAACTGATTAAAAATGGGGATTAAGGGAGGTATGTTAAACTGTGAAGAGTATAATACAGAATACCAAGCATTATATATCTTTATTCTAGTTTATCTTAATATTTGAAGGGTAAGCGGAAAAAACCAACGATATCCATTTTATAGGAATTTTTAAGTAATTGTTAAGTTAAGTGTTGTTAAGTAATTGTTAAGTTTGTGATACCGAGTCCCAAATGCTAAATTGTAAGCGAATAAAACAGACGAGGTCCGAATAATAAGACATTTAAAAATAATCATAATGGTTAAAAACAGACGTTGTCCGCGCATTACTGGAAAAAACCGACTTGTCTAGGCTAAATACAACGATTTGCAAGTACTAAAACGTTTCTGTCACCCAAATACTAACGAATTTTATGAACCATTGTTATATAGGTAAAAATCTCTTTAAGTTAGTTTTAAAATAGAAATCATTCCTTTTTAACAAGTTATTTATCACGTTTATTTTTCTTAACCCAAATATAATAATCTTACGTTTAGATTCTTTTGTAACATGTTAACTATACAGTAACGAATTACATTAAAAAGGTTAATGTACAATTTTATTTATTTCTATGACTATACATAAGATTTGGTAACAATATTAATTTTAAACTCAATTTTCTCAGTAAGTCAGTTTTGTCACATCGTCTTTTTTCCCCTTACCCTTCATTTGTACTAATTTCGAAAAATCGAATTGATATATTATTGTTAAATAAAATAAAATTGCTAAAGATAATAAAATTATTTTTACTATTATTATTACCAATTCCAAATCAGTTTCTTCATCTCCTATAACTACAACTACTTTATCTTTGGTACTTTCCAATTGTGTACTATTATTGCCAACATTTTCTATTTTATTTTCTGTAAACGATATACTAGAAAATGGAATGCTGATACTGTTAATTACACTACAGCGATTGTACCTGAAAATAATAAAACATTACACATTTTCAAATCAGTCGAATACAACTACAAAAACAAAACTTGAGTTTTCTAAGACCAATACAGATGAGTGGGAAAAAGGTATGATCATGTTGTTAAAATAGAAGATTAATATTTACCAAGGGAAGCAAAACAGACACTTATCCAGACTCAATTTTTTCAATTTTCAATTCAAATTATTCAATATAGGTTACAATATTTTTTTTATAATACAGTAAAAGAAAAAAATACCTCACAATATTATACCCACGCTAGGCACAGTTGCCTGTCTTGTCCAGTACAATATTATGAGGTATTAAAATGTAATGTATAATAAATCAGATAGTGTTTACATGAGAATTAGAAAAAAACATTAATACAACTAAAGTAAATAGAGAGAATTACAACTAAGGAGGGAGAGAGAATGAATGTTGACGGACGTTTTTGGTTTCAGATCAAGGAGATTTATTGAATAGAAGTATGTAAGTATATTATTATATTTTCAGTTAATAATGATATCATGATTTGGTTACTGTAAGGTGTGTTTCATGGTATATGTATGTTACTGAATTATTTCGAATTTATCAGGTTGTTTATATAAATAATTTTTTATTTTTCTTTTGTATTTTTATAATTATTTTAAAGGTTTTGGTAATATATTATAGAATTGTGGTCCATAAAAAAAGAAAGTAATTTTGGGTTACAGTCTTTTTTGAGAAATTCACCTTTATATCTAAATTATTTTGAGAGCGCGTATTTATTGTAACAAATTGTAAATCCTTGTGAGCCATTGGTACGCATAAATTAATTTAACATTTAACATCCCTGTTTCTTGATATAGATCATGTGTAGGATAGTTTTTTTAAGGCAATTTTCAAGATTAAGTTTTGCGCTATTTGTAGATTACTAGCAGACATTTAGTATCTGATTATTGATTCAACAATGGACGTGTATAAAATGGTCAATTTTTTTTTAGATAGAATATCATAAAATGTATGCATTTAAACTCTTATACATTTTGTCAAATAACTTAATATGATCTGTCCATCTTAAATTTTGATCTATGATTATTCCGAGATATTTTATGGAGTTAGTTTTCTCAACACATTGGCAATTATAATCAATGTATTTATTGCATTAGTGTTTATGTATTTCGATTATTAGGTTTCTTGGTTGATCTACGATAGTTGCATTTAGTTTTTTTTATATTAAGACATAGTTTATTTATGATTTAGTCCATTGTAATTTTTTTCTAAATTAGATTCCGCGATATTGAAAGTATTTCAAAGTTCTTGAACTTTTATGTGATCGTAAAATAAATGTATTCCTAAAGTAAGTAGATTACATAAAGTATTTAGTTTTGTTTTTTTATAATTAACATAACTTTTCTGTTTAAATTTTTCGATAATTTTTATGAGTAAAAGTATTAAAGTTAAGCTTTTAAGAATAAAATAAATCTTAAAAAATTTCCTATTATTTAGTGTCTTAATAATTAATAAAATAAGTCAGAAAATTAAAATGTTGAATAAAAGTAAAATTAGAGGTTAGGTTAATTTATGTTTATTTATATTATTTTTAATATTGTATTCATTTAAAAGTATTGCACTGTAATTTCATGTAATATAATTTGGTTATACCTTTAAACTACTAAAGTATAATTTATAACCACCGTAACGACGTAACTTAACTTAACGCCGTAGAAACTTAATCTAAGATATAAGTCTATTTATAAATGTCAGTAACGTAAGAGTTGAGCATGCGTGTTGTATTTCAGAGATTATCAAATTACTGACAACCTTATGAAATAAACAAGTGTACCTGACCTCTATATAAAACTTATAAATTATGATTTTGCTATATAAAAAGAATATATTAACTACTTTAAAAGCAATAATATAAAAATATAATAAAACAGAATAGTTTACCGAAGATGTTGATTGTTTTTGAGCAATATTGAGAATTTAATATTTTCTAGCAAACTAGTTTTGTGTCTTATTTCAGTTCTTCAACTTGATGTTTATAGGTATATGCAGCAATACTCATATCTCATAAATATTTTATCCTCAATAACATAAACACAAATCATTTATGATAATGTATGTCCATAAAAAAGGAGAATGATAGTTTACAAAATGGTATTTATCCATTCATTTATAAAAAGAAATAAAAAGAATAATTGACAGTTATCACATGCTGAACTCAGAATTATCTCATTGGCTAACCGTAAGGTCTTAAGTTGTTAAGTTAAAAGTTGGCGAACTTTCTACGGTACGTTAAGTTCTTAAGTTACGTTACGAACATTATAAATAAGTATACGTAAATTCAATGTTTCAACTTCTTACGTTAAGTTCTTAAGTTACGTTACGGCGGTTATAAATTAAGCTTAATATGTCAAAATCAATGACAGAATGGTTTTGTTTTTTGTTTGACACACAAATTACGTCACACTATCGCAGAGTATTATTTTTAAGTTCTTAAGGTCGGTAATGCGCTTCCTGTGACTGGCAACATTGATACTACAACGTTGCTCCTTGCATATGCGAACGGTATTTTTTATTCACTTTAAAACAGCAAGCGCGAAAGTTTATCTTGCCAGCAATGCATACGTTTCTATAAAATAATTATAATATGGACTTACTGTATTAAGTTTCTGATGTCTATCACTAGAATTTTGTCAGGATTTGTTCGAATTAATTCTATAACATCTCTGGCACTAATTCGAGGATACCTTTCTTGTTTTAAATCATGCAAAGTTACACCGGAAATGTCCTAAAACATATTAGGTTAGTTCAGTTAAGGTGTTTTGTAAATTACAAAACCGTAACAAACTGAATATTATAATTTTATTATTAATCGGTCATAATCAATACCTAAAAGTTCAAAATAATTACGCGAATACATAATTTTAAAATTAATTAATACCATGGTTAAAGTAGGAATGTTAAAAATTTGCAAAAAATGAGAATTCTTTGTTTAAGTAGCCGCTTAGTTTTCTAAAGTAATTCAAAAATGTATGATTAAAAATCCAAGTTATCCCATCAATATCACCGTATATTATATAAATAATTCAAATTAAAAATTATAAACAATTTTTAACTTACATATTCGTCCTTTGTTCTAAATTCGTCGTTTTCATGTTCCCTTTCGGTTATACTTATTGGAGTAACTTTAAATGTTTCCGTAGAAAGTGTAACACATTTCTCAATGTCCACTTCGGGCAAATCAGAAAAAAGTAGAATACATTCATTAAATCCGGAACTAAGCAATCTCTCTCTAAGTTGTGTCAATACTGAAAGACCTATGTGTAAAGAAAATGAAGAATTTCCTAGCAGCACCTTATCCCAAAGATGCAAAATTTTGTGAAGAGGAAAAACATCTGAAATATAATAATTATGGGGCATTTACATAATTGAGCCGGTTATTTTAAAAGTGGCCTAAGTCCATTTATACTTAAATTGAGATATCTAAGGGTTTGTGTAAATTTTGTTTAACTGCATTAATTAAACGTACTGATTTTTTAACTAATGCAATTGTCCAAAAACTGAGGTTAACTTGTTAAATACTAAGGGTGAGATTACAGAACGTCTGTAACTTTGCAGATCTGCAACTTTGCAAATCTGCAAATATGGCGGACTTACAAAAAATATCTGCAAATTCGCAATATTTATTGTGGTTTATTACCCCCAACAACACTAAACCCAAATTTGGAATACGAAAACTTGATACTTGCATGTGTAAGTCAGTCATATTTGCAGATTTTCAAAGTTGCCGCCATATTTGCAGATCTGCAAAGTTGCAGACGTTCTGTAATCTCACCCTTATTAATTAAAATTTCCTTCATCACTGCCTTCGGACATTATCGATAATGGATATCTTAATTTAAGTATAAATGGACTTAGGCCACTTTCAAAATAAACGGCTAAATTGTATTAAAAACATTGATAATAAAATTGTTGTTTTTTATTATAAGGACCCCCGACTGTTTAAACGTAAAAATGTGTGGTGTCAAATTTTTTGAATTCTGTAGAAATTTTTATAGTTGAATTCGGAAATAATAAGCTAGTGATGACTTAATTTGTGTTCCAATGACAAATGAGAGAAGACTTATTTAATTTTTTTGATTGATGTTTGTTTACGACTGAATTATATAGTTTTTGAAGTTTTATAATTTGTTTAGGGCACAGATCTAGAGTGTTAGGAGATAGGCAATGATAATCTGCAATACATTTCAAATACGTTTATTATAGGGCGCCGCCATGTTGGTCAAACTTGGGATTGAGGAGTTTGCGCAGTAGAACAAATTTAATTTCATGTGTCAGTTGCATCAGCTGTCATGATTATTTATCGTTTTTCTGGTTCATTTATCAGTTTTTATTAATAAATTGTATTACTGAGTGTTTTCTGGTATTATTTTTATCATTTTAATATGATTAAAACATGTTTAGTCGTGAATTATGATATTAGAGGTAACCTACTATTGGATTTACGATGCACCAGTTTACTTCTCTGTATTAATCTATTGTAATATTTTCAATAATTTATATGTGGTTTGCCTTCCTGTCTGGTTAAGGGCCATTGAAAGAAGTACCAGCGTAAATATTAGCCCTACAAATAGAATTTGCTCAAACACTTTTACGAATCTGATATAATTAGGACGCAATAAAAAAGTTATCATCAAAGTACTTTCAAAACTGTTTTTGTCAACAAATATAGTCCAAAGAAAAATATTAAGGTAATTTAATAAAGTATTTTTTGTTATACGCAAGTATATACACACATAGATTACTGAAAATTTTATATTTGGATGTGTCAGATAGATTTAAGTAAATTAAATGTTATTGGAAGGTGGATACTCCTCAAGCCTTGTTCTCCAATATGTTAACATTTACTTTTAATCAAAATAATCTGATATAAATAATAAAATTGGACCCTTTTAGGGATATATCTTTAGATAATGTAACCAAAATTGCTAGTTGTAGCAGAGATATAGATGACATTGGTTTCCACCCTCCCAAAAAGATTGATATAAACTCAAATTAATTATGAAGTACAAATATATTTTATGCTGTAAAGGTTGTTGTTTAATAGACATGCTGTACATTTTTTATTTTAGTTCTAGAATTTTGTTTTATATAAAGCCTATAATAACTTAAACAGTTAGGAAGTTTAATTTTTCTATAAACTTATATTTGACATACCTATTCGTATTTCTTTTTTAGATTACCTGATAAAGCTTTGTCTTCCAAAGTTTAAGTTTCTTTAAGAATTAGGTCACATTAGTTTTATTTATGTGATTTATGTTATTCGCAAATGTAATCTACATAACTTTTGTTGTAACATACACAAATGTATATATTTGTAAAATTTATTAGAACTACTCACCTTTTTCCCAAAATCAACAGTTAATTTATAAAAAAAATATTAATGGTTTTATTTCTTTTTATGAATTTATATCGAAAGCTATATGTAAAAGTTAAATAACTGATTATTTCAGCAAATTTTATGTGATGTAGTGAAATAAATATTTTTTTTTAACATTCACTAAATATAAACACGTTTACAGATGTTTTTTATTTTTCTTCTCACTATAAATTGGTTACTATATTAGTTAAAGAAAGGACACATATAATATAAACAAAATAGTTATTTTGTCTAATATTCTACGCTCAGACCTGTTTACTCCTTTCTGCGCATGCTCGCTAATCCCAAAAATAAAAAGATGGCGGCTCACTATAATAATTTTTTTTGGTTTATTGCATAGCCTATCTCCTAACACTCTAGATCTGTGGTTTAGGGTCAATTCTTAGATAATATATTGACAGATAGGCTACCCCTGTATAAATCTATACAATGTTCTAATAAAATCATTGTTTCTTTTTCTAATGCAGGCTTTCTCGCTCATATTAGAATCTTCAGCAGTAGCGTACGTAAACGGATTGCATTGGGTTATTTTAAATGTGAAAATAGTGACTGCAAATAGATTAAAAAAGTACAAATAATGTTCTAAAAGATATGTACGTTTTTATTGAACTAAAAACAAAATATGACATTATTGTCATGTCAAAAAATATAATAAATATTTTATTGCTTCTAAAACATTTAGAATTACAGCAAGGATTTGGAATTCTATAAAATATCTATACCTGTTGAAAAGCTATACAATGGTAGAACTGAAGAAATACATAAAGCATTTAATTTAAACATGACAAAATATTCCTAATAAGAATATAACAGACCAATATATATTTACCTATTTAGCATAAGTAGAAGTATTTCAGGATATTAAAAAAATATATAGGAATTTAATTTACTTTTCTAATGACTTTGTTTAAAATATAAATTATCTAGTTACTTTATTTAAATTAGGTAACTAAATATTCTTATATTACTGATGATAGTTTATATTTTAGACCATGTACAAATATATACAGTATGCGTCCAAAAACTAATAATTTTTTTGATATTGCACATACTTTTTCACTCATCTTAATTGTGTCTGTAATGTTTTATTTCTGTTTCGTAAGTTTGAAGCAGTACTGTTGGCAACAAAAAAGTCTTCGTAATCTAGGTTTTCATATACAATTTAATGTATCAGCTTAGATCAAATCCAATGTTTGATTTACTTCTTAATTAATGGTGATGAGAATTTCAGAGTCATACCTTGAACTTAATATTGAAGTGTATTAGGTACTTTTGTTCAAACTATAACTTCTTTTATTTGTTGGCAAGTTTAATACTCTTAAAGAAGGCCCATAATAAAATAATTTAGTATCTGAAGAAATTACTATACTAAAAACATTCAAACATATTATTGGTTCGCCAAATTTATTAAACACAATACCTTCTCTTTTTTTTAGGTGACATAGGTTCACCACTACTTTTTTTCCTACTTTGTTTGTAATACAAAGTTCCTAAAAAGTAAAGATACAATTTTTAAAAGTGCTCGATATTATTTAGAAACGTACAAACTAAAATATATTTGTTGCAGCCAAGCCTTCCTCTAAAAAGTGCATTGAACAAATGTAATATATTCGTTCTACTTCTAACATTTCAGTCCATTCAAGTGCCTCTAACCATAAGTTTCTTCTAATTCGTATTTTAGAACACTAATAATAATTTTATTTTTTTTAATATGCATATTTTATTTTCCTTTTTTCTCCTAAAACTACGCCCATGTTCTTCGGTAAGAAATAATATTAACGAGTGAAACGTAACCTCACTTGCTCTTTTATATTTAAAATCACATAAAACACAAGTCTTTTCCTAGTATAAAATAAACTCTACAAATCAAAGTCACTTTTAACACTACCATACTTGAACGAATTTAAGTAAAAACTTAAAAAAATGTCTAAAAGTAACTGAAAAAATAAATATAGAGATAGAGATATTAATCTATTTCTCTCTAATTAGAATCTCTCATGCGATATCAAGGCGACAAAAAAATTGTTTACTGTCCTCTCTGTACTACTCTGAGGGTCAATTCCACCGTTGTGTTGAACGAAGTTAAAATTACTATGGTAAGATTAAAATGACATTGTTAATGTAAAATTGTAATTTTAAAATTCGCTTAGTAATTTAAACTTCGTTTAAGACAACGGTGGAATCAGCCTTTAGGCACCCTTGAACTACTTTTTTGCGACCTGTGTAAAAAAAAACTAAAAACGAATACATAGCAAAAGGGTCTGGCAACAAGGCATTTTTTTTTAAACGAATGAATGTACAATTATGAAATTATAGGGTGATGATCGGGATTGTAGTCTGCATTTTTAGAGGACATGTCAAATTTATGTGAAGTCAGCGTTAAGCATACCGCCGCCATCTTGAATTTATTTAAAGGATAACGTAGGTCGAGAGATATATCAGGACAAGCTTATTTTTTCCTCTTTTCAAGAATACTAAAAAAGTAACACATTACTAACGTAATATAAGAAACAATTGCCGAAGACAATACATGTAATTGTTGAACAGTTGAGGAGCAGACTTTCTAAATCACATACTTTGATTTTCTTTTACTATACGGAGAATGGTCGCACTGCGCAGCTTTCTGAGTGCCTTTTAAAAGGAGATTGAAAACTCCGCCATTTTGAACCCTTATTACGTGTTGCCTACATCTTGGCGCAATATTTTTAATAGGTGCGTTTTAATCATCCGCTTCTGCTTCGGAATTGTCAGTTTTCTTGTTTTAATCTGACAGGTTAAAACGACTAAACCGACAATTCCGGAAGCAGAAGCGGATGATTAAAACGAACGTGATATTTTGCTTGCTGCTGTCAGTGTCAGTAAATATTATTTTTGAAGTCACAGTTTATTGCTAAAGAATCAGTTAGCTCACTCGGACCAGTTGAAAGTTCCAAAATAACATTGAGATCAAAAGTG